CAGGAAGAGAATTTTACTAAGGGGAACCGGAACTCCATCTTCTATTCACGATGGCACAGTGCTTCACCCTTGAAGTATGGTTATTATGTTTCTGTTATGAAGGTGAAAGACCCATAACTCAAAAAGCCTCAGGCTTGAGGGAGTTACTAAGATCTTTCATAGAAGTGACAGAAACATAATTATCACTCTTCAAAGGTGAGATTGAATTCATTTTTATTTCTTTGCAAAAGTCCTGTGTAAAGAGAGTGAGATAATGTGACACACAAATTAACCTCGCCAACATGAATGGGAAAATCAGCAGGGATGAATTAGGTGCCATTATAAATTGAACTGGAATCTCTCTTCAATATTTGTAAAGTTTTGTTTTTGTTTCAGTGTTAAACAATCAACTCCCAAGTTTCTGTGCACTTGGAGGTTCAAATACAGTGAGGTAACTCTGATAGCATTATAGGCATGTCAGGACAAGGAAGTGTGAAAATTACAAGAAAAAAAATATATGATTTCCTGATCATTTTGGTTTCAATTTCTCCATTTTTATCACATGCATCTTTTCAAAGAATTAAATTTTCTTTTTTCTTTCTGAATTATTTGAATTGTTATTTTGCTCCCTTTATAGCCTGTTGAGATATGTTCACCCCCACCCCTATTTCTTTTCTATTAAACACTTGAGTAAAGTCACTTAAGACACTCTGAGTAAAGTCATTTATGATACTATGAACCCTTTTTGTCAATGAATTTAGAGAATATCTGTGTCAGTTCTATTCTCTAAGGTATTGTTCCTGATTTATTGCTGGAAATAACCTTTTAGTAGTATTTAAATTTTACTTTCATCACCTTGATTTGCAATACTGTTAGTTTTCAGGTTTCATACATACAATTGTTCGAAACCCATGCCCCCCATGTCCTCCATCAGAGTGACCATTTCTCTCCACCATTTTTTCAAGGTCATACCTGACCCCCATTTACACCATAGTAAATTAGGCTAGCAGTGGAATTGCTGGGTCATATGGAAGCTTAATTCTTAGTTTTTTGAGAAGTGTCCATAATTGTTTATTAAAAGGGAAGGTTTCTTTTTCCCCAAATCTGCACCAACACTGGTTGTTTTTGTTCTTTTTTGGTGCATGCCTGTATCAGTGTTATGAGATGATATTGCACTGTTGTTTTGATTTTAATATTTTTGATGGTAATTAATATAGCTTCTTTCGCTATACCTATTGACTATGTATTCTTGGTAAAGTTTCTGTGCATCTCTTTTCTATGGTTTTGGAGAAGGGTGATTTTATTTTCTGTTACAGTGGTAGGGCGTTTGCCTTGTGCGCAGCTGGCCTAGCCGAGCCAGGTTCGAGTCCTGCCCCCCTCTCTGAGAGCCCGGCAAGCTACCGAGAGTATCTCGCCTGCACAGCAAAGCCTGGCAAGCTACCTGTGACATATTCAATATGCCAAACATAGTAACAACAAGTCTCAGAATGGAGATGTTACTGGGCCTGCTTGAGCAAATCAATGAACAATGAAAGGACAGTGTTACAGTGCTACAAGTTTTACAAATGTTTTATGTATCTTGTGTATTAACCTTTCGTCAGATGAATGGTGGGAAAATATTTTCTCCTAGTATGTGTGTTGTCTTTTTACTCTGGTTTTCATTCTGCATTTGTGGGGAAGAATCTTTTTAAATGCATTGTAGTTCCATTTCTTTATCATTGCTTCCATTTTCTTAGACTGTGGCAATGAATACTTGAACATGTCTCTATATTCAATGTCATGAAGTATTCTACCAATATGTTTCTCAATATAGCACATAGATTCAAATTCATCAAGATATTTACTGCATTTTAAATAGAATTTTGTGATTGGTGTGAGATAAATATCTGAGTTCATTTTGTTACATGTGATTTACCGATCTTCCTAATGCCTATTGAAGAGAATTTCATTGCTCTACTTCAAACTCTTAGCAACTTTGTCAAATATTATATGTCCATATATATGCGGATATATCTCTGGACTCTCAATTCTATGAGACTTTTTTCAGCAGGTATTTTTTTCAGTACCGCGGTATCTTGATTACTTTGATTACTTAAGCTTTATAGTATATTTTAAATTGAGAGAGAAATATGTCTCATTTTAATTTTCCACATGATTTCTTTGGCTATTTGGGGGATGTTTATTATCTCCTACAAATTTTAGCAGCATTTTGTCTGTGTCTTTTAAATTACATGGGAATTAAAGGAAAAACATTGAATCGGTATATTGCTTTGTGTAGGATTGTCATCTTGACAATATTAAGCCTTCAAATCCTTGAAGAAGAGATATGCTTCCATTTTCTAATGGCTCATTTCTTTGAACATTGCAGGATAACATTGCCCTTTCCACCTTACCACGGGGAGCTTAGGTTTATTGGGTTACTCTCATTGCTCCCATTCCTCTGTGTTTATTTGTAATTCTTTGTGCTCTGTTAACTTGTAAATATTGTGTTTCTCTTCTCCTTAAGTCCTTTACATAGTTAGAGCTGTCACTGTCACTATCCTCCCGTTGTTCATCGATTTGCTTGAGCGGGCCCAGTAACGTCTCCATTGGAGACTTTGTTGTTACTGTGTTTGGCATATTGAATACATCACGGGTAGCTTGCCAGGCTCTGCCGTGCGGGCTAGATACTCTCGGTAGCTTGCCAGGCTCTCCGAGAGGGGTGGAGGAATGGAACTTTGGTCGGCCATGTTGGCTGCGTGCAAGACAAACGCCCTGCCGCTGTGCTATCGCTCCAGTCCATAGTTAGAGCAATGACCTTTTTTGTATAGACACAGGAAGACAGTTAATACTATGCTTTTGTAACTTGGGAGCAAATTGACCCTGAATGATATTCACCCCTCGGCATCTATTCTCTCGACTTAAGCCTCAGTTTCCTTACTTCTTAGCACTCCAAAAGCAGGGTCCCGATGAGGGTTTGGATGGACCCAGGGCAAGCAGTGAGCTACTCTGGCAATGAAATGGGCCTGACCAAAGCACCATAATACTTAAAGCATGTTTATGGACACATTCTGTCATGATCCAAAAGGTAATAAGTGGAGAAGATCCTTGCTACGGTTAGGAAAGATTAATCTGGCCTCAGCACTGTAGTCTGAGATCTATAGCAAGATGTCCCCAGGAGAGTCATTCTACAAGCTTAATGTATCTCTTACTATGTCCATACAAAATAACTAATATTAAGAAGTAGAATTAAGATGTTAATTAAGTTATTGGACTAAAGAGAGGAGAAACACCCCGAGGTGGTTTTTCTGCCCTTGAGCCTGATTGGTGATCATGAAGGGCTTTGATGTGTTGATTGTGCTACCTGCAATGTGAGGAAATGGTGAGAGATGAGAGAGAAACCAGGGCAGCAAGATAGATTGCGAAGAGATTAGCAAGGGGGACAGAGGGAGAAAAATGTAGGGGGAGAATGCAGGAGCAGGAGTGTGGAGAGAGAACTGGTTATGAGAGAGATGAGCGGAAGACACAGGAGGAGATGGGAATGAGGGTCAGTGTGAGACTAGAATGAGGGGCTTAGTGAGACTGGAACAGGAGCATGGGGAGAATGGAATAAATGGCAGTTGATTTTCAGCCAATCAGTCTGGTAACCTCGTTTCCTCCTTCATCCATGCCATTGGCTATTCGGCAAGCAGCTAGAGTTCATTAAACACAGGCGGCGAGAGGGAGAGCCATTGGGGCTCTCCCTCTCACCGCTTTGTGATTACACATGCTTTGTGATTACACAGAACAGTAAATTGCAAGTTTTTAAAAAGTTTTCTATCTGTTTTGTTAATCTAATTTTCATCTAATTTATTATTTTCTGAAGTGCAATGTGAGTGGGAAATTTTTTTAATTTTTTTTTTATTAGTGAAACACCATGAGGTACAGTTGTAGACTTACAAGTTGTTGTGCTTGGGTTTCAGTTATGCAATGATCGAGTACCCATCCCACCACCGGTGCCCATTCTCCACCCCCACCAATCTCAGTATCCCTCCCACCCCTCATCCCCCATCCCACCCTGCCTCTGTGTCAGGGCACTCCCTTTTGTTCTATCTCTCCTCTTGGGTGCTGTGGTCTGCAGAAGAGACATTGGGTGGCAATCACATTCGGTCCATAGATTACTTTCAACAGGCATCTCCCATCCTGGGCAGATCTTCCTACCACCCTTTATTTGGTGCTCCCTTTTCTATCTGAGCTGCCTTTACCCCTAGAGTGTGCGGCTGGCCTCTAAGCCATGGAGTGAACAACCAGGTATTTATAACAGCTCTCTATTTCTCTCTCTCTCTCTCTCTCTCTCTCTCTCTCTCTCTCTCTCTCTCTCTCTCTCTCTTTATTTCCACAACTAGTGATGCTCAGAACTTACTCCTGGTTTCTGAGCTCAGTAATTATTCCTGGCAGTTTTGAGGGACCATATGGGGTGCCAGAAATAAGTCGCACGTTGGCCACATGTAAGGCAAATACCCTGTCCACTATACTATCTCTCTAGCCCCAATCTCTTCTCTCTCTCTTTCTCTCTCTCTCTTATGTAATTGTTTGCATATAGGAACACCATAGATTTCTGTATATTAACTTTATAGCCTTCTACATTACTGTACAATTCTTTTGTTTGTTTTATTTGGGGGGGGGGCAGGGTCTTTAGCATCTTTAGGGTTTTCTTAGTATAGCGTTATGCCTCTAGCAAATAGCAGTAGTTTTACTTCTTTTCAAAATCTGAATGTCCTTAATATTTCTTTCTTATCTAATTGCCATGGTCAGAACTTAAAATACTATGTTCAATAATAGTGGTGAGAATGGGTAACCTTGTTTTCTTCCTGATATTAGGGTAAAGGTTTTCAACTTTTCACCACTGAGTAAGATATTACCTCTGGATTTATGGTAAATGGCTCTAACTCATTGAGGGAAGTTCCTTACATCCCAATATTATTAAAATTTTTCTGATGAATGGGTAATGGATCTTGTCAAAAGCTTTTTCTGTACCAATTGAGATGAGAATATGGTTTTTATAAAATTTGGAAGGCTTCACAAATTTGTGTCTCATCTTTGTGCTGGAGCCATACTAATCTTTGTATTGCTCCAATTGTATTGTATGTGCTGCTGAAGTGAGCACCCAGGAATTATTTTCTATAAGTAACTCGAACCAAACATTGATTCTATAATAGAACCAGAATTACAACTATATATAGCACACATGGCATTGAAAGGTAGTTTTATCAATATTTTCTTCGGAGAGTGACAAAAATATTTCATCAATGAACTATTTCTGTTCTTTTAAAAATCCCCCTACTCTGATATATTTGTGGGATGATACAATATTTTTCTTATGTTTCTCTATATTAGTATCTGTCTCTAATTTCTCTTTCTCTCATCAAGATAATGTTTGTCTTTTGAAAATGTACTAGTACTCACCGCACAGCAAATTCTGGTAAGCTACCCATGATGTATTCGATATGCCAAACACAGTAACAATATGTCTCACGATGGAGATGTTACTGGGCCCACTTGAAGAAATCGATGAACAAAGGGAGGACAATGCTACAATGCAGTGCTACTAGTACTCAATGCCCTTGTATGTGAATTCAAGATAACTCAATGACTGCAGCCCTACTGATGAAAAAGGATAAGAATTTAACTATTTCTATGGACTGTGTAGTACTGACATTTTCAGAGGGCTGAAGTTCATATCCAAACTAATAGAGTTGTAAAGAAAAGATACACACATTTGTGGCCACAGGGTATGTTCCATGTTGTTAAATTATGCTGATTGAATTCAGTTAAGGTCAAGGTTATCTTTTGAGCAATATCTGGATGTTTTATATGTCATTAATAAACAGGGTGAAAGACAGTTGCTAAAGTGAATAATTATTGGGTATCATTATTTTTCAAGGAAAATATAACTTTCAGATTACTTGAAAGTGACTTAAGACTCCAAAATTTTAAGTAGAAGACAACTATAGGAAACAAAATTAGGGCTGTAAGTCTGAATTGATGACTTATAGAATGTCATTGCAGGTCTGTATTTTGCTCCATAATTTTGCAGATTTTATGGCCTCAGAAGTATGTCCCTATAATTACACCCATAAAGGTGAACTGTTAGCTTGCCTTTTATAGCAAGAATAGCACAACATACATCTTCACCTATGTGAAGGGACTGACCAACACATTATGCAATTTGTTCCCCATTATGTAACTCTCTGTGTTTCTCCCCTCTGCAATCCCTGGGCCAGGCCCTGTAGTAACTGCAATGCTTCTCATCCCTAGAATAGCCAATACATACTAATGTAGTCATACCGTTTCAATACTCCAATACCGGGTTCAATACTTAAAGTTTGATCTGAGGATGATTTTTTTCCTGATCATCATGACCTTGACTCTTCCCTTGATGACAGAATTCTTTAACACATTTTTAATTTTCTTTTGCAACAATACCATTCCAAATTTTATTCTGGCTTGTGGACAGAAATGAGAGCAGATATATCCTTTTGATATCTGGCACTGACTAGCCAGATGTGTATACAACAGAAGCTCTGATTCCTTAGAACTGATCAAAAGAATGAGGGCTAACCAGAACATGATCTACACTGGAGGCTAGACTAAAGTCGAGACACTGAAATGGCCTCACAAATTTAAGGTGCCTAACTTTTCAGATCACAATTAGGGGTTATGAAAAATCACAGTTATATGAAATATTCAGTTATACGTGGAATAAAGGACAGAAGGAGATGCAATGTTGACAGCGCCTGAGTAAGATGGGAAGATTTGGGGTTTCTTAGATGAGAAATTCTTGTAGATCTTGAGGGATGACCTAGATTTCCAAGTCTTGTGCCCATATTGTTTTTATGTCATTGGGGATATAGCCTTTTTCCTTAGTGATTTTTGTGAGCATGACAGCTTTAGGCATTAGAGAACAGCCATGGTGACAAGGGAAAGTAAAGGGCACTATTATTTGTCTGGCTCCTGCTACATGCCAACACTCTGCTAGTGCTAGACCCTTTTATTATTACACTCTTCACAGTAACCTTCCACGTAGCATGCCTTCTCACTGTTTGAACGAGGCTTAGAGGAAATGAATGTGTTTCTGGTAAGGTTACTCACCTCCATCTGGAGGTGAGATCAGGCTGACAGTGCAGTCCATCAAGAGCTCATCTCAAAACAATGCATGTGGGAAGAATTGCACGCTAAGCATCTCTGTTTTGGTTTTGACACAGAAAATCATATAATATATGGAACAGTTCAGCTCTGACTTCATAATTAAAACGTAGAATGTTAAGAGAACTTAAAATATTGGTCTTTTATGCCAAAAAGTTAGGGATACCTTGAAAAAACTTGGAAAATAGCATCCTTGTTTGCAATTTATAGGGAAATTAGTCATTATAGTGGAGTAAGGAAGCCTTACATTCTAATACATGGATTTAAAATGTTTTTATTTGTGGTTAGATTATATCATAGCTCTATTATCTCTTTTTATATACTATATTATCTCTTTTTATTATATCATAGGTATATTATCTCTTTTCCTCCTAACTGAACTTCTTGTATAAATCCTGTTTTCTGAAGTCTGGAGATTGGCAGGTGAGTTTCCTCTACCACTATCTCCACCTCCATGAACTCATGGGCCTAGTTCCCAGCTCAGCGACAGTTCAGTGAGGTTTTTCCTCTTGACTTCATATAAAGCACCAGATGTAAGCTGCTTGAATTAAGTGGGTTGGAAGTGGAGAAAGGCAGAAATAATATCTTAGCCAAATCACATCCTTTTCTTAAATCTTTGAATATATTCTGTCTGTTTCATGTTTCTGGCATTGGTACATCTCTTTCCACTCAGATAATTAGAGTGTGCATAACTACTGAGGAGTTATATAGTCCTGGCTTTATTTTCCTTCTCTTAGTATTAGAGAAAAGAAAATCCTTTTGGGGGAGGCCCTTCAACATTTTTTTTCTTAATGTTCACTTCTTTCAAGACTACAATCACAAAGTCCGGCAGCACGTATTTCCTCTTGCTACTGCCTGTTGTCACCTGGCTACACACATCTGTGACATGTAAGCAAGTAACACCAGGGATTCCTCTAGCATGATTCATAAGCAATCGTTTTAAGTTTCCATTATATGTTTTTCTTAGAACAGAATAATGGCACTTACAAGTTCCTGTATTATTCACAGGGATGGGATCTGTGGAAGCCAAGGGTGGCTTGCCCTCCTTCCTTGCTTTGCAAGCCCATTGGGGGTCTGCGTTTCACTTTTTATTGATCTCATTGATAGACATTTGCTGTCTATTCAAGCCTGATTCCATAAAGGACTACCTATTTATTGCGTACTCTTTTCATGCTTTGGAACTGAGATCCAAACGTTGAATGAGAATATGAAGTAAAGGTACAATTTTAATAATTCCATTTCATGAAGTCAGAAAGTCTTCCTGTTCTTAGAAAAGGAAAATACTAAGGTCATCAATAAGTCTTCTAGTCATTATGTACTGACTGTTGGTATCTCCCCATACTCTTATGATGGAACCCTTGAACACTTAATGTGAGAGTATTTGGGGTTGTCGAATACAATTAATTTGTGACAGTGGAAGTCTTATGTATGAGATTAGTTCCCTTAGAGAAGTCCCATAAAGATTCTTTAACATTTATGCCAAGTGAATGCATGGTGCAAAGATAGTCCTTGAGCAAATCATCTCTCATATAAAACACTGAATTTTTTACTTAACTTTGCTGTTTCTCTGCCTCCTGAACTGTGATTGATAAATAAATGTGCTTTGTTTAAGCATTCAGCATATGTATTTATCTTTTGAAATCTAGATAGACTTTTCACTTAGGAATCGTGAAGTAGTTTTTCTATGGCTATAACTATTTCATACCAATAAGAAATCATAGTTAAGCTCACTGCTTGGTTGAACTCCAAAGATTGATGTCATTGATAAATGACATATTATTTATCAATTTATCAATATACTAATATTACAATTTGAAAATATTTTAAATTTGGAAAACATCTTACAACTTCTAAATCTCATTAATATTTTTCATACAAGTACATATATAAAAGGAATATGTATTTGTGATAATGGCTTTCAGGGGTATTTAGCATACCTATTAAATAGAATATGTTAAAATGTTTAGAAATCAAAGACTTTCATTACAATGGGTTAACTGGTGGATCTTATTCAAATGCTAATTTTTTTCCTACATAAACACATATAATCCTCTTTATGTTATTTTAGTTGAACTATGTGAGAATTTTTGGAATGAATTTTACTCTGAGTAATTTAGAAGTGATGATTAAGTTCATAATTTCAGCCCATGAAGCAAAGGGAATGAATAGTTTTGGGCAGGATTCACCTCTGATTTTATAGGTAAAAGAAATAAAAGGTAGTTTTTGCTAATTTATTCCTTGGTAAGAGAAAAAGAAAATAACATTTGTACTAAAGAAATGCTTAATAAAAACCACAGTAACAATAAATTAGAAGCAGAGTTTAATTATTGTTTTTTCTGCATGATTTGTTCTTTGCCTTCTTTATAAACTTCCTAGCACTTAGTTTTTGATTCTTCTTTTATCCTTCATCTGCTGATGTTATTTACATACAGAATTGTGATGTGTTTACCATATTATTAAAATAGAACTGAATTTTAATTAAATATCATCTCAGGATCACAGCTTCAATCTACTTGCCAACACTGATGGTGATCAATTGAAGATAACAAAGAAGAAAGATTTTACAAATAGTCAAATATTTTCCATTTGCCTTTCTTCTTCCTTCTCCAGCTTCTTTGCTTTTCTATTCTCCTCTACATTAGTTCACTTATTCCTCTTCTCTGTTTCTCCACCTGTTTAATTTTTCATACATTGCATATATTTAATTTCCTGTGTGATTTTCACTTATTCTATAATATGCATTCAAACACTAGCAACCGGAGATGTTGACTGCCAGATCATCACGTTTGCTAATTCACAAATCTACTTCTAGTTGCCAGTTCTCTTGGATTAGGCATCTTTGAAATGGCTTCTATTATATGCTTGTTTCAGAATTATAAAATGTTATTTTCTTGATTGTGTATTTATTTTACAACAATTAATTCACCCCAAGCTTTTATTTGGAAAAGCCATTGCCTGCAA